CTCCATGAAGGGAACCCAATGTGGGAATCAATCCCGGGTCTCCAGGATCACACCCTGGGCCAAAGGCGGTACTAAACCACTGAGCCAGCCGGGCTGCCCTATTTATCTTATTAATATTCCTGGGATGGGTACCGATGGCTTTTTTTTTTTTTTTAAGATTTTACTTATTCATGAGAGACACAGAGAGAAGCACACATAGGCAGAAGGAGAAGCAAACTCCCTTTGGGGAGCCTGATGTGGGACTCCATCCCAGGACCCCAGGGTCACGAGCTGAGCCAAAGGCAGTCACTCAAACTCTAAGCCACCCAGGTGTCCCTCTTTTCATTTCTGATACTCATCTCTCCTCTTTCTTGGTTAGCTTGGCTAGAGATTTATCAGTTTTATTGATATTTTCAAATAGCCAGCTTTTGGTTTCATTGATTTTCTGTATTGATTTTTTGTTCTCATTTCCCTTTACTTCTATTCTGATTTTTATCATTTTTCTTCTTCTTTGGATTTTACTTATTAAGTTATCTGTATACCCAACATGGAGCTCCAACTCACAACCTCGAGATCAAGAATCCCATTCTTTACACAAGTGAGCCAGCCAGGCACACCTAATTTGGACTTAATTTGCTGTTCCTTTTCTAGTTTCCTAAGGTGAACTCTTCAGATTATTGATTTTAGATCTTTCATCTTTTCTAATATATTTAATGCTACAAATTTCTTTAAACTCTGCTTTTGTTGCATCTCACAAATTTTGAGGAGTTATATTTTCAATTAGTACAAAATATTTAAGTGTTTCTCTTGAGATATCTTCAATGCATGTGTTTACATGTTGTTTAATCTCTAAATATTTTGGGATTTTTCCATGTATTTTCCTATTTTTGACTTAGTTTAATTTCATTGTAGTTTGAAAGCATAATTTGTAGTATAATTTTAAAATTTTATTGGTAACCCAGAACATGGTCTTAGTAAATGTTCCACCTGAACATGAAAAGAATGTGTTTTGCTCTTGCAGGATTAGAATTCTATAAATGTCATAGATCCAGTTGATTGATGATGCTGTTCAGTTAAACTCTATCCTTGCTGGTTTTCTACCTGCTGGATCTCTCAATTATTGATAAAAAAATGTTGAAGTCTCCAACAGTAACTGTGAATTCATCTATTTCTTCTTGCATTTCTATCAGTTTTTGCCTTATGTACTGTGACAAAGTTAAGTGCATACATATTAAAGATTATTGCGTCTTTTTGGAGACTTGGCAGCTTTATCAATACGTGATATTCCTTGTAATCCCTGGGAATTTTCCTTGCTCTGAAGTCTGCTTTGTGTAAAATTAAGATAGCTAACTCCAGGTATCTTTTGATTAATGTTAACATGATATATCTTTCTCTGTCCCTTTACTTTTGATCTGAGTCTTTATATTTCAGATAGGTTTCTTGCAGAAAACACATAGTCTGAGTCTTTTTTTTTTTTAACCACTTTGACAGTCTTGCCTGGATTGGTGTATTAATCTATTCACATTTAAAATAATTATTAAATGATTATTATCTGGATTAATATCTACCATATTTGTTACTATATTCTATTCATTGCCTTTGTTCTGTCTTCCATTTTTGTCTTCTCTAGTTTTTTTTTTTTTTTAAAGATTTATTTATTTATTCATGAGAGACACACAGAGAGAGGCAGAGGGATAATCAGTCTCCATGCAGGGAGCCTGATGTGGGATTTGATCCCAGCACTCCAGGATCATCCCCTGGGCTGAAGGCGGTGCTAAACCCCTGAGCCACCCAGGGTGCCCTCAACCTCACTTTCAAATAAAAGATGTTTTACAGAATTGAAAAATAGAATTCTTGGTAAAAGCAACAAGGAGCAAACTAATGAAATCACTAACTCAAAGATATATGCAACCTCATGTTCACTGCAGCATTATTGACAATAGCCCAGATATGGAATCAATGTAAGTGTCCATCAATGGATGAATGGATAAAGGTGGTATATAAATACAATGGAATATTATTCATCTATAAAAATTAATGGAATTTGCCCTTTGTGACAACAAGGATGGACCTTGAGGGCATTATGTTAAGTGAAAAAGTCAGAGAAAAAGTCATAGGTCATATGATGTGACCTACATGTGTAACCCAAAAGCAACAAGAAAACAAGCTCATAGATACAAAGCAACAGATTGGTTACCAGAGGCAGGGAGGGGGTGGAGTGGGCAAAATGAGTAAAGAGGGTCAAAAGGTACAAACTTACAGTCATAAAATAAAGAATTCATGGGGATATAATGTACAGCATGGTGACTATAGTTAATACTGTATTGCATATCTGAAATTTGCAAAGAGAATAGATTTAAAAGTTCTCATTACAAGTAATAAAAAAATTTTTTTAAAGACCACTTATTTTAATAAATGTCTATTTCAACTTTTTTACAGAAGAATAAATGTCTTGATGACTGTAGATATGTAAGGTTGTTTGGTAGCATCCAGATCCACCACAACAATGGTGGTCTTCCTGACGGGTGTGTAGTCTTCAGTAATTATAAGGGATTACTTGTCTGAAACTGCTGTTAAACCAGCAGAACTGCATTTACGCATCCATCATTTTCAGGATTGTTTGTAACCTGGGCATATTTTCCCCAAATAACTTTGCCTCCTTGTGTCACAAGGCCCAACTCACTCACGTTCACTTCAATGACAGTACGTTTGGTAATAACACCCAAAGTTGTATATAGTGGGGATGAGGGATTCTTTTTTACACCGAATATTGGCAGGCAAAAGGTGGCTTTCAATTCAGGATGTGTTACATGGGCCTTTTTGAAACGTAAGCCCATTGGCCTAATGAATCTTTGGTATTTAGGTGGTTTTCTAATAAAGCCGTCTCTAACAAAGCAGACTTTAGTGACCATCCTCTTCCATGCTTTTTTCTCTTTCCTGACTTTTAATACTTCTGTTTCTCCCTGAGCACGAACTTTGGGTAAAGGAACTTCCCACTTTCCCACTTTCTATTTTCGCTTTTGTTTAATCATATTGGAAAGTACTTTAGCTTGGGACTGTCCCTCCCTGTCCAGTAGATATGCAGGTACTGCTCCCTGTGGAGTCTTTTCATCATCTTTTGTTTGGTGTTTCTCTATTCATGCATCTTGATAGTCTTTTTCATTTGTATTTTTTCAGCATGGCGCTGTTTATGGTAGAGCTTAGCTTTCAGACCAATCATCTTTTTTGCTTTCTTTGAACGTTCATGACCCCCTCGACCTTCTTTCTTTCTCTTTTTCTCATGGTAATCCAAACGATAGCCATAGCACTTCCAGTGTAACTCAATATATTCATTTTGTGGCATGGTGACAGCCGCTGGGCACCAAGAGGCTCTCTAGCTTCGGGCTCCCGGCCCGCAAGCTCCCTCCATGCCAGCAGCAACCAGTAATAAAAATTTTTAACTATGGTGAAAGATGTGTGGTGATCATTTCACAATATATATAAACATCAAATCAATGTTATACACCTGAAATAATAAAATGTTCTATGTCGGTTATACCTCAATTTAAAAAATCATAATGAGGGATGCCCGGGTGGCTCAGTGGTTAAGGGTCTGCCTTTGGCTCAGAGCATTATCCCAGGGACCTGGGATGCAGTCTTGCACCAGGCTCCCTGCATGGAGCCTGCTCCTCCCTCTGCCTATGTCTCTGCCTCTCTCTCTGTGACTCTCATGAATAAATAAAATCTTAAAAAAAAAAGTCAGTAAAATAAAAACAATCCTAAAGCTTAACAGATTTCAGTGACTATCTTAAAGCAGTGAAAAGTGAAAATACATAAAGTTCCTCAGAACTTGAAATATTTGCTCCAACATTCTTAAAACCACAGAAAGCTTACAAAAGCTGTAAGCTTAGATGGAGTAAAAATCAAGACTAATTCTAGTATACCTTACTTTGTTCATAACTGAGACCAAAAGTGGGCAAATTGGGATGCCTGGGTGGCTCAGTGGTTGCGCATACCTGCCTCTGGCCCAGGAGGTGATCCTGGAGACCTGGTATCAAGTCCCAAATCGGGGTCCCTACATGGAGCCTGCTTCTCTCTCTGCCTCTCCCTGTGTTTGCCATGAATAAATAAATAAAATCTTAAAAAAAAAAAAAAAAGTAGGCAAATAATCTTGCTATGTAAGAAGCCTGGAAGAAGTAGGATATTACTTCATCAAAGTTTTCTTTAATGCCTTATACAAGATATCAAAAGATCCTAACCAGTAAAATGTGAAATGAAGATTTGTCCAGTAAAGCAAGATGTCTACTGCTGAATGTATTTCTGTAATTTGCAATACAAAGAAGTTCATGGACAACAGCACTACCTACTTTGTAAAATAACTCTCAGGGTTATACTGAATGAACCATTTCTCCCATCTCCAGTAACTTCAAGAACTTAAAACATGCTCATTGCTGTGACTCCCAACTGGAGTATTCTAAGCAAGGTACTTTATATGTCATCTTTCCATAAAAGAACTTACATTCTCTGAAATGTAATAGTGTTTGTATTTTATCTAAAAGGGACAGGATATACTTGGAATAGTATTTGTTTACTTTAAGAAAGTTGAAGTATTTAAGGTATGCAAGAAATACGGATAAACATTAGAAAGCATTTTCAAATATAAAAGTACACACTAAATCCTCTTAGAAAACTAATGATACAGGGATGCCTGGGTGGCTCAGCAGTTGAGCATCTGCCTTTGGCTCAGGGCATGATCCTGGGGTCAGGGATTAAGTCCCTCATCAGGCTCCTTGTGGGGAGCCTGCTTCTCCCTCTGCCTCTGTCTCCACCTCTCTCAATCTGTGTCTCTCATGAATAAATAAAATCTTAAAAAAAAAGAAAAGAAAAGAAAAGAAAAGAAAAGAAAAGTAATGATACTAAAAGGAACTGGTATTCTTTAGTTTGGCTTGTATGTAACCTTGAATGAGTCTTATAATACCCTCATTTTTCTGCCTATGAAAAAATCTATTTATTAAAATATCACACCACATCACCAAAAAAGCTAGAGATTTTTAGATAAGAGAATTTTATTTAGAGAATTAACAAAATGTTATGAACAGAATTTTGTTAGCAATAATTAACAGAACAAAGAACAGTTCAATATATATCACTTATATAATACTAAAATATAGTTTTCATGCTACCTTTATCCATTAGTTTTCTGTCTCAACTTTTTAAAAAATCTAGAAATCAGGCATATACATGGAACAGATTTACTACATACATTCAAATTATGATTCCTTCTATGCCAGAAACTGCCAATTTAAAAACCACCTGCAAATTAAATGGCCTTTCCAATATAATTCCTAAATTTAAAGATATAAACACCAAACACAACTCAAAATGCATAAAATAAACTCACAAATTTCAAAAGGGAAAAGATTATATTAGCAATATCATAAATTAACAAAGAACTTTCCAAAGAATACTGCAAAAGGTAAATCAAATTTTACAATGATTAAGTCTAGAATATTTTTTACTTGCATTCTTTTCCATCCAGTTGAAAACATCAGAGAGCACTGACTGAATTGAAAGGGCCATTTATAAATGAATAGTAGATGACATGTGTCATTTTATGGATAAAAGGAAGAGGGACTATGTACTTTGATTTGCAAATAATGTTCTTTATCCAAGTAAATCCTCAGTATTTCCATTATTTTCGAATGACAAGATTCATTAAGTACCATGTGAAAAAAAAAAAAAAAAGACCATCCTTTTACTGATGGAAGGCTTCTAATCTTATTTGTGTTGGATCTTCTGGATGTCTCAAGGCAATTCCATTACGAAGGAGCAGCTCAATATAAGGTGGCCAAAATGAATCTCTAATTTTGATATATGGATCATGTGGAACATCAAATAATCTATTTATAAGAATCTAGGAAAAAATATCATTCAAAATATACCATACTTAGTTAAAAAAAATTCATCTATAATAAAACATTAAAAATTTGTTTGCCAAAGAATGTCTATCTCTTTTCTCTTTGAATAACTGCTTAATCATAATTTCTATGTATTAATTTAAATAACTGATTTTCTTCATTTAAAAAAACTACAGATATTACTACATGGAAACCTCTTTAAAACTGGGTACAAGTTTCTGCAACTTTGTGGAATCCTTAAACTCACATATGTAGTTCAGATAGAATAGAGATGACAACTAAAGATTCCATCCATGTAAAAGTACAGGGTTTCAACTGTGTAAATATTAAATAACACCATAAACATTTTTTTAAAATAATAATCTTGGGAATATGATTAAGTGCTAGTCTCCAAATTTATGTTCTTTTAACAAATGACAATACTCTTTCTAGTAAGGTATAGAAAACAGACACTAGTCTTATATTAAAGATAAACTAATATAAATATATTTAATAAAATATTTAATAAAAGTTGGTATATTTAAGAACTAATGCAGTTATTTTGTTTTGAGCCTGTGTATAATTGTTTAGAAATCACTAATTAAAAGAAATCTTGAAGACAAAACTACACAAAACACTTACCTCTAATATTTCATGCAGTGTTATCAGCTGTGCAGTTGATTCTTTAATGTTTTTCTTTGACAAAAATGTGAATAAAAAAGAATTAATCTTTCAATTCCGCCAATGGCAGATTAGACTATATTTATAACAAAATTTTCAAAGGTTAGCATTTCTTACTGCAATGGTACAAGGTACACCAAAACAAAATATTTATAATTAGGTGATTTTAAAAGCATTCTAAAAGTAAACAATCTGCTTGTACTAAACAGGTTCATAAAAACAAAGTTCAAACAACCCCTAAGTCATATCTTTTGCAATTACAAGAAGATATAATTCAGATTATCTAAAAATTCATAATGGGTAAATTATACATATTATATATACACTTATGTAACTGAAAGTCTATTGTTTGAACTCTCTAATCAAAACATTTCAAACAAATGGCATTCCCAACTGTATTTATATAGCTTTAGGATAGGAAATTTACTTCCCAAGGAGCCTTGTTCAGCTTTCTAAAGTTCTTGACAGTTCCTAATGTTAACTCAACTCACTGCTTCTTTTTCCCTTGGAATGTCAGAGAATAAATCCTATTCCAATTCGATCCAAGAATTCCTCAAATATTTGAAGAGAGGTATTAGGAGCCCCAAGTCTTCACCATACTCATCACCATATTAATTAGTTCCTTATTTTTCCCAAGCCATAGCCTTGCAGCCCCTCAATATCATGTTTGCTGTCTAAATGTGCTTTAATTTATCTTGTTTTTTCTTTTTCAATCCAGTCTCCACATGATACATGTGTGACTTAAATAACAAAGATGAAAAGGAAGATTCACACTTCCATACTTATAGATGCTGGAATTTTATTCAAGTTTATTCATCAGCTTTTGGACATCTATTTTGCCCTGACCTCCCTCAGAGCATAGCATCATCTAAAATGCCTAAACCTCCTTCTTGCATCTAGCTAAGATAGGTCTCCTTCATTTTTTAATATTTTAAAAAGAAAGGTATTCTATGTACCTCCACTAAACATTATCCTTACTTTATTTGGGCTAGTTCTACCCAACTGAAAAATATAGTCCTAATTCTGTCATCCAATATATTTACTATCTAGCTCTCTTAGTTTCTTATCATTTGCAAGTTTTCATGACTATGCCTGCTACCATTTATCTAAACTCCTATTAAAAATATTCCATAGACCATCTCTTCGTGCCCATAGGTCCTGTCCCTATGCTTTAATAAAAACACTTTTTGCACCAAACCAAACCAAACAAAAAAACCACCATTCAAAGGGACAAGAATCTAAAGGGGATCTACTAGAAATCTCCTACTAATCTTAATCAGCAGTTTATGAGCTCAGGTATTTAATTAATTACAAAGTCACCTACTGTAGTGAAAGCTAGTACCTTTCTGATAACCATCAAAGATTAGCAGGGAAGTCACTACAAAGTCTTATGTAGCAGCACCTGGGTGGCTCAGTAGGTTAAGTGTCTGCCTTTGGCTCACGTCATGATCCGGGATTACAGGGATAGGACCCCATGTCGGGCTCCCTGCTCAGTGGGGAGTCTGTTTCTCCATCCCCCCCTTGCCCCACTCATTCTCTCTCTCTCTCTCTCTCTCAAATAAATTAAAAACTCTTGACCAAAAAAAATTTAAGGTCTTCTGTAAGTACAAATATGTTAAAGAAAGAGTAAAAATAAATGTGATTCCTCAGGAAAGATAGTAAAGCTGGATATCAAAAACTCCTGGTCTCTAATACCTTCTCTTTAAAAAGAAAAAAAGAAAGAAAAAAAATAAAAAGAAAAAAGATTTTATTTATTTACTCATGAGAGACACAGAGAGGCAGCGACACAGGCAGAGTGAGAAGCACACTTCCTCACAGGGAGCCTGATGCAGCATTCAATCCCAGGACCCTGGGATCACACCCTGAGCTAAAGGCAGATGCTCAACCACTGAGTCACCCAGGCATCCCTCTAATACCTTCTCAAATTAAAGAGAAATTTAAAAAAAGCAGCATTGAGTAGTGATGAAAGCAAAGAGAATTAAAGAACTGATACAGAAATAAGCAGCAACAAAGCAAGATTAAAATATAAATATTTGGGGATCCCTGGGTGGCGCAGTGGTTTGGCGCCTGCCTTTGGCCCAGGGCGCGATCCTGGAGACCCAGGATCGAATCCCACATCTGGCTCCCGGTGCATGAAGCCTGCTTCTCCCTCTGCCTGTGTCTCTGCCCCTCTCTCTCTCTGTGACTATCATAAATAAATAAATTTTTAAAAAAAATGACAGTAATATAAAATATAAATTTTTGGAACAATCAAAGAAGAGCAGAGGAAAAATATGAGAACCAAGAAAAAAAATGTTTCAAGATAAGGATATGAAAAACAATATGACACAATAAAATAAAATTTCCATGAAATGAAATGTTACCTAAATCTGACCCTAAAAACAATGCCATCTTCAAAGCAAACTGATATTGAATGATCAACATTGTTATGAATCTTTGTGAAATTACTGAAGTCTAGGGGTAAAGAACTCTTCAAGCATTTACTCAAGATATCTAGAAGCTGACCTCAGATCACCACAGCATATTCTATTTCAGAAGAATGGAGTAATCCCTACCAGATCTTGAGATTTGTTTTTTTTATGTGCTAAAAATATCCTTTTACTATAAAAGCAAACAAAGCATTTTCATCATTCAAGAATCTAAAAATAAAATGCCCAGGAATTCTGCTTGAATAAATAACTTATCAAAAAAAAATCCATCAAATCAAACAATTAAAAACTCAAAATAAATGATAAAAGATGATAAGCATTGAATCCAATACAATATAAAGACTAAACACATACATGAATATTGGTATGAGAACAGAATAAAAATGCTATATATATAAACCGGCCAAAATTAAAATAACGGAAATTGTAATGAGTGTATAGGAGAAAGAATGTTAATTTCCTTATCCTTCATAGTAGGGAGTCAATGAATGTAGTCTAAAAATTAAAGATGAAAATTTATTTATTTTTTTTAAAGATTTTCTTTATTTATTCATGAGACATAAAGAAAGAGGCAGAGACATAGGCAGAGGGAGAAGCAGGCTCCCCATGGGGAACCTGATTTGGGACTTGATCCCAAAACTCCGGGATCACACCCTGAGCCAAAGGCAGACCTCAACTGCTGAGCCACTCAGGTGTCCCTAAAGATGAAATTTTAAAAAGTATTATGTTTAAAAAAAAAAAAGTATTATGTTTTATAACATTTTTCATAATTAGCTTTCTCTATATCGGGGATCTCTCCAGAATTAAAATCACCTGAAGCCAAGGAATATTTATCTGAGTTAAATAAATTAACCTCACTTATTGTTCCTCTATGAATTTAAGTAGAATTACATGTAATACTTAGTTTATATTGGCCTATACAAAACTACATTGATCTGAGGGTGCCTAGGTAGCTCAGTCAGTTAAGTGTCTGCCTTCAGCTCAGGTCATGATCCTGGGGTCCTGGGATCAAGCCGCAGATAGGGCTCCTTGCTTGCTGGGGAGTCTGCTTCGCTCTCTCTTTCTCTCATAGATAGATAGATAGATAGATAATAATAATAATAATAATGATGATGATGATAATAATAAATAATAATAAATAGATAAATAAATAAAATCTTTATTTAAAAAAAATACTCCACTGATCTGCACATCCATCAATCCATTTATGCTTCTATATATGTATGTGTTTAGGAAGAGGTCTCAAATTATGTTCACCTAATGTTAATGATACAGTGGAGGGACTTGAGTTTTTTCTTTCTTTTTTTACATATCTTTGAATGATAAAGCTTGTGTTATGGACTGAACCATGCCTCTCAAAACTTCTATGTTCAGTCTCACCCCATGTTGACTATATTTGGAGATGAAGCTCTAAAAGAGGTAATTAAAGTTAAGTGTGACCATAGCAGTGGTACCCTAATCCTGCTATATATAATATATATGCCAGAGAGTAGACTTACAAAGATGAAATTAACACATTAAGGAGCTGAGAGTGCATGGGGCGTGAACAGAGACACAGACATAAATCATTACTACAAAATCTTGTGACAAATGCTAATAAAATGGTACGTAAACTTCACTTAACACCCACACACAGAGATGCCTGAGTGGCACAGTCAGTTAAGCATCCAACTCTTAGTTTCAGTTCAGGTTGTGATCTCAGAGTTGTGAGATTAAGTCCCATGTCAGGCTCCACGCTCTGCACAGATTGCTTACATTTCTCTCTCCCTCTCCCCCTCCCTCTGCCACACTTGAACTGTCTCTCTCATGAATAAATCTTAAAAAAAAATACTTCATAGAAAAGATGTTGTTTAAGTCTTAAGTAAAAATTTGCTATCCTTATCAGATATGAAGTGTTCTGTAAGCAGAGAAAATAAAACCTTTAAGTCACAAAAAGTGACAAGTCATTGTATAGTTGCTGGAACTAGAGTGGTATAGTTGAATGGATTCATGCAAGAGATGAATAAAGCATGGTTAGACAGGAGGTTCAGAAGATAGACAAAGTCCAAATATAAATCTATTACTCTTTGCGTTTATAGGCTTCATCCAATAGGGAGCCATTAGTTTTATGTTGAAAAATGATTAAAGTATATATTTATAGAAAAATCATTCTGATGCCAGTTTCAATACCTACAAGCTCTACTTATACATAATTACACAATGCTTTCACAAGCTCTATTTATTTATACTATATACTGTTTTTTAAAAAGGAATTAAAGTAGTTGTTCTCAATCTTCTGTCACCAAATAAAATATTTGCTTTTGTGAAAAAGGTTTATTACATCATACCTCACTAGTAAAATAGTCAAGAACTTACATTAACTAACAGCTATCTTCTGATTTTAAAAGTTACACATGCTCAACATGGGAAATTTGGAAAACCGTAAAAACAAAAACAAATCTCACCTAAAGTCCTAGTCGCTAGGCATAGGCACTATTACATTTTTGTTATAAATCAGACATAAAATTTAAGTGGCTGTGTTTTAACCGTTTAACAATATATTGTAAGCATTTTAGTAATTCTTTTGGTAGTGTTCAATATATTTTAAAAGGTGTATTTTTTCCCGTTATATGGATAAATATTTTAAAAATGCATTTAGTCCTGTTTTATTGAATTGAGTTGCTTCTAATTTTTCAATCAATATTAAATGTGATGATGGAATATTTCTTTTTTTTTTAAAGATTTATTTATTCATGATAGACATGGAGAAAGAGAGAGAGAGAGAGAGAGAGAGAGAGAGCAAGAGAGGCAGAGACACAGGCAGAGGGAGAAGCAGGCTCCATGCAGAGAGCCTGACACGGGACTCGATCCCAGGTCTCCAGGATCACACCCTGGGCCAAAGATAGGTGCTAAACCGTTGAGCCACCCAGGGATCCCCTGATGGAATATTTCTGTAAATGTATCTCTGTGTATCTTCAAAATGTATAAAAAACTTACAATCTCATATACAAATACCTACATGAATATGTTCTCTAAAACTTACCTTTTTCTTTTTAACATTTCTATCAGGCAGAGGAAAATGATCTTCCAGAAACTCACCCAAGGTAATCAAGAGTTTCTTCTTATATTCTTTTATATCATGCATTTTAGTGTTCAGCTCATCAAAGACTCTAATAGATATTTTAAAAATTAAAAGAAATATTTTACTGATAAAATACACAAAATGTAAGTATATGTAAATGGTAACTCATAAAGTTGATCAAATATTTTGTTTAAACTTCATTTGTTCAAAACAAATAACTAGCTTTATGAAGTAGAATTCTTTAACTTGTAGGGAAACTATATATCAAAAGTAAAATATAACTAAGAATTGGCAAAAGTTAAATACAGTAAAACTCATTTTCTAATAAAATTTCCCTTTTCATGTATGTATTTCATGCAACATAAAAAAATAACTTTTTCCTATTTCAAAAACCTAGAATACACATACCTTGATTCAGAAAATGTCACAACCTGCTGTTTCAATTTATCGTGTAGTACATTAAGAGATTCCAATATCTGTTGTTGTTCATCCAGCCACTGTTGCTCCCTTTAAACATGGAAAAACACCAACAATAGCCAAATAAAACATTAATGCCACTTCAATAAACAGCAGTGATTAAAGATAATTATAATATAATTATACCTTTCCAAGTCTTCCTTTAACTTTTCATTCTTTGACTGAACAGTAGAGAGTACCAATTCAAGATCAACTCTCAATTTTTGGAACTAGGACAAAATGATTCAAATTAATTCTTAGTCTGTAATCTTATAAACAGTTATATTTATGAATGAGAGTGAAATTGACATTTGTTTACTTAGATAGATACTCAGAAATCAAGAGCAAGAAAGCCTACCAGAAAGTCTGAAAGGAAATATACAGCAGGTCCTAGGTTCTTTGTAATATTTCATTTGTTAAATTCAAAAATATAAGAAAGAGTTTGAGCAATACGTTTTAATTTCATATTGAAAAACAAACAGTGAGTTTTTAGTAATCAAGTAGATTAGGTCTCTTTTCTAAGGAGTATACAAAAACAGACACAAATGATTATCATTCATTCAACAAATATTTATTGATCTACCAGGCATTGTTGAAGGAGTCAGGAATTCAAAGATGAACAAAGAGGAGAATCCAAACAAAAAAATAAGTAACTCCAGTGAGTGATCAGTATCACGAAGAAAAAATATGTCAAAATAGGAGCACAGACACGTGGAGCAGGAATAGCTCTTTTAGGTAGTAGTATGATATGCAGAGACTTTTCTGATCAGGTAAACAGTATAGCAGCAGATTAAGAAGACATGATAAAACATGATAAAATCTGCAAAAAAAAGTCCCATGAAGAGAAAACTGTAGGTACAAAGGCACTGAGGCAAGAATATGTGTGATTTGAGGAACATCAAAGAAGATTGTGTGGATACATCAAATTAAAATAACATTTGGATTTTTTTCTAGTATCTTTTTGTTTCTAGAACATATTAGCTAAGTATTCCACTCTTCTGATGTCAAGGGTTTCCATTAGCTTTTTATGCATCTAAATTCATGATAATTTAAAGATGTATATCATAAAACTTATAGTAACCATGGAAAAAGGGGGGGTGAAATAATCAGTAAACAATTAGTATAAATAAAATAGGTTTATTTTTAAAAATACATAAGTCAAGAAATTGGAAGGAGAGGAAAACAGAAACAGAGAAAAGGTAATACAAAGAGGAAAGAAAAATCAAGTACAAAGATTTCAAAGCAACCAGTGTTATTAAATATGAACAAAAGAATTAAATATGAATAATAGAAAGGTAACTGGAAAAATCTGCAAATATTTAAATATTAAAAACACATTTCCAAATAACCCATGAGTCAAAGAAGAATCTATAAGAAAAAAGAAATTATTATGAATTATTTGCAAGTAAAAACAAAATAAAAATTTCTGGGGTGAAGCAAAAGCAGTACTCAGATGAGAATTTACAGCAGTAAAAGCTTATATTAAAAAAAAAAAAAGCTCCAGGGTTGCCTGGGTGACTCCGTCCTTTAAGCATCCAACTTCGGCTCAGGTTATGATTTCAGGATCCTAGGATCAAGCCCTAAGTCCAATTCCCTGCTCAGCAGGGAGTCTGCTTCTCCCTCTGCCCTTCTCCCTGCTCATGCTCTAACTCTCTTTCAAATAAATAAAATTAGAAAGAAAGAAAGAAAGAAAGAAAGAAAGAAAGAAAGAAAGAAAGACAGACAAAAGCTCTCAAATTAAGGACAGCTTCTACCATAAGAAAGAAGAACATAAAATCAAAAGTAAACTGAATAAAAAATGATTAAAAAAAAAACCTGACAGAAAAATAAGAAACCTGAAGGGAGGGTTTTTTTTTGGGGGGGGGAGGGGTGGAAATCAATGAAACCCAAAGCTGACTCTGAGAAGGTCACCCTGATTGTCCATACTAATTACAAGAGAAAAAAAGAATAAAAATTACTAACATCAGGAATGATAGAGATGACATGCTATGAACATTAAAATGATGAGGGAATGCTATGAACAAATTTAATAAATCTGACAAATTAGATGAGATAGATAAACTATAAGACACAAACTGCCACTTCTTCAGAGAAAAATAGAAAAACTGACTAGCTATAGAAAAACAGTTTGTGACCAGACACTTTCCCACAAAGAAAAGTCTAGCCCAGATGGCTTTACCTGTGCATTCTAGCAAACATTTAAGGAATACATACGGATTCTATACAAACTCTTTTAAAGAGAGAATATTTCTCAACTCATTCTGTTAGGCTTGATACCAAAGCCTGACCAAGATGTCAGAAGAAAACCACAAACTAGTATCTCTCATTAACACAGATGCAAAAACCTTAATAAAATTTTAATAAATTAAATCCATCAATAAATAAAAAAGATTAACACATTATAGCAAAAAGGGTTTATCTAAGGAATACATCTGGTTAAACAGATAATATAAAATTTTTAAAGAATCAATGTACTAAAAAAAAAAAGAATCAATGTACTAATAAGTCAATGAATTCAAGTATAGTCAGAGGATATAAATTAATATGCATCAATCTATTGCATTTCTATAACTAAAAATGAAGCAGTAGAAAGAGAAATTAAGAAAACAATCTCATTTATAACCACACAAAAAAAACAATAAAATACTTAGGAATAAACTTAACCAAGGAGATGAAAGATCTATACTCCAAAAACTATAAAACACTGATGAAAGAAACTGAAAATGACACAAACATAAAGATACTTCATGCTCATGGACAGGAAAAAAAAGTATTTTTTATTATTTTTTAAGATTTTATTTATTTATTTATTATTTATTTATTAATTTTATTTATTTATTCAGATTCCAGAACTCCGGGATCACGCCCTGAGCTAAAGGCAGAGGCTCAACCACTGAGCCACCCAGGCGTCCCCAAACCAATTATTTTTTAAATGTCTATACTACCCAAAGCAATCTGCAGATTTAACACAATCCCTACTAAAATACCAATAGTAGTTTTCACAGAACTAGGACAAATAATTCTAAAATTTCTATGGAACCCCAAAAGACCCCATATAGCCAAAGCCATCTTGAAAAAGAACAAAAGCTGGTGGCTTCAGAATCCCAGATTTCAAGGTATACTACAAAGCTGCAGTAATCAAAACAGTATGGTACTGGCACAAAAACAGATACATTGATCAATGGAACAGAAGAGAGTCCAGAAGGAAATCCATACTGTTATGATCAATTAATCTATGACAAAGTTGGCATATATATAATGGGGAAAAGACTGTTTTTTTTCAACAAATGGTGATGGGACAACAGGACAGCTAAATGGAAAAAAAAGAAAGAAAGAAATTAGGCCACTTTCTAATACCATACACAAAATAAATTCAAAATGGATTAAAGTCCTTAATGTGAGGGGTACCTGGGTGGCTCACTGGTTGAGCATCTGCCTTTGGCTCAGGTCGTGATCCTGGGGTCTTGGGATCGAGTCCCACATCAGGCTCCCCAAAGAGAGCCTACTTTTCCCTCTGCCTATGTCTCTGCCTTTCTTTCTGTGTCTTTCATGAATAAATAAAAATCTTAAAAAAAAAAAAAAAGACCTTGATGTGAGACCTAAAATCATAGAATTTCTAAAGAAGATATAGGCAGTAATTTCTGTGACATTAGCTACAGAAATATTTTTCTAGCTAAGTCTCCTCCGATAAGGAAGACAAAAGCAAAATGAAACTATTGAGACCACACCAAAATAAAAAAGAAACTATAAACAAAACTTACCGAAAGGGAGAAGATACTTGCAAATGATGTATCTGATACAGGGCTCATATCTGACTATATAAAGAACTTACACAACTCAGTACCAGCAAAAAACAAATAACCCAATTACTATTCAGGGCCGAGGACCTGAATAGTACTTTTTCCAAAGAGAATAACCAGGGGTACCTGGATGGCTCAATTGGTTAAGCATCTCCTTTGGCTCAGATCATGACCTGGGGTCCAGGGATCGAGCCCCACATTGGGCTCCCCATTCAGTGAGGAGAATGCTTGTCCCTCTCCCTCTGCCCCTCCCCCCTGCTGGTACTCACTCTCTGTTTCTCTCTCAAATAATAAAAACTTTAAAAAAGAGGACATAAAGATGGTCAACAAACATATGAAAAGATTCTCAACATCACTAATCATCAGGGAAATGCATATTAAAGCCACAGTGAGATATCACTATACACCTGTCAGAATGGCTAAAATCAAAAACACAAGAAATAACAAGTTTTGGCAAGGAAGTGAAGAAAAAGGAATCCTATGCACTGTTGGTAAGAATGAGATTGATGCAGCCATTGTGGAAAACAGTATGGAGGTTCCTCAAAAAATTAAAAATAGAATTACCATCTGATCCAGTAATTCCACTACTAGGTATTTACCCAAAGAAAACAAAAACATTAATTTGAAAAGATATGTGCACCCTTATGTTAAATGAAGCATCATTTACAATACCAAAGATAACAAAAGTAACCCAAGTGCCCTTCAATACATGAATGGATAAAGATAAGGTTATATATGTACTATGGAATATTATTCAGCCATAACAAAGAATGACATCTTGCCATTTGCAACAACACTGGATGTATCTAGAGGGCATAATGCTAAGTGAAATAAGTCAGAAAGAGAAATACTACAACCGTATGATTTCACCTACACATGGAATTTAGGAAACAAAAGAACAAAGAAAAAAAGACACACAAAAGAAGTCTTAAATATGGAGAACAAAATGGGTTGCCAGAGAAGAGGTGTATAGAGGGATAGGGAAAATAGATAAAGGGAATTAAAAGTACTCTTATTTTAATAAGCACTGAGAAACATATAGGATTGTTGAATCATTATATTGTATACCTGAAACTAATGCTCCATGCTTTAAAAAGTCAATGTAATTTATTATATCAACAGAGTAAAATAGAAAAAAAATTATCTTCTTAATGAATTCAGAAAGAATGACAAATTTCAATAATAATTCCTAATTTTAGAAAAAGTCTTCATAAATTGTAATGGAAAGTACTTTCGGGGCAGCCCCAGTGGCACAGAGGTATGGCGCCGCCTGCAGCCTGGGGTGTGATCCTAGAGACCCAGGATCGAGTCCCACATCGGGCTCCCTGCACGGAGCCTGCTTCTCCCTCTGCCTGTGTCTCTGCCTCTCTCTCTGTGTGTCTATGAATAAATAAATAAAATCTTAAAAAAAAATTAAGTAATTTCGACTT